TATCTATCTATCTATCTATCTATCTATCTATCTATCTATCTATCTATAGATATGTATAGATATATATAAATATCTATATATGTAACTATACAAACTGCTTGCACACATCAGGAGGGTCTCACCCAGCTGGCACTGATTAGGGATACTGTCCGTTGCTTAGCAACATGATGCTGAACCGCCCACATGGATTTGCAGCTTCAGCAGGTGAAACCATAGCAGCTAATTTTCTTTCCCGTCCTGCAAAGTTATTAATTTTCTTGGGCAAATTACTACAGCTATGTCCACATTTTCCAAATTTTTTTGAGACAAGCGAAAAGAGTAACGCTTGTCATGGTCGTTGGCCAGTCATGTCAGACGAAGAGAAAGCACCCTCTTTTCTTGAGGACGCCAGAGTCAAGTTTATCGAGGTTAAACTATGCGATCTGTTGCAAGTTCGGAGCAAGACGTGGGAGAAGAGCGCTGTCAGCGAGGAGTTTCAAATGCTTCTGAAAGACTTCTTTGAGAGGGGATCAGTGGTGTTTTTCTCCTCATCGACAAAAGGTTGTTTGGTCGCGTCGCATGAGGTAACGCTGACACAGACTGTCCTTAAACATGTAGTTTCTGAAACCGCCCTGGAAAGCTTGTGAAGTTTAGGGCATCCGGGTTTAGCAAGACCAATTTAATCGTAAATTGTCATATGTTTGAAAATGCAGGTACCAGCTGTTGCCTATAACAAACAAGTGTGTATCCTCAAGAAGACAGCTGTCCCAGTCAACTTTGAGAACTACAGGAGACTTCTGCTTTTCGGGTCTCTGTCTACAACCCCACTAACCCAGCTATCGTGCACAGTAGAGCAGGTGAAATTCATACCTACCCTCATGCTATTGTTTAGAAATTCAAAGGTTTTGTGTTTAGTGTCAGGTAGTTTTGTACCTTGATTTATGCTGTTATTTTGAGTTAATTCCCCGTGTTTCCACACAAGCTATGTGTTCCACTGCTGACAAACTGCAAAAATCATCACATGATGCCGAATTTGATGCCTGAGGACATCATTCGACATGTTGAGAAAGTGCGCAGCAAGACCTCAGTTGTGCACGGAAAAGCACTGGGTAAAACTGTCCTGCCTATACCAACTGCAGTAGACTGGATGGAAAAATCACACAAGACATTGAAAATGTAAGAAACCCTAACCCGCACACACTCAATCATAGCTCCTGCTGTGGGACTTAGATGGTTTTATCATCCCTAGTGGGCATGATGGCTATGACAGGGCACTGGCCCATGCCATAGAGACCCAGGTCATCAGCTGGTCAAACACGATCCAGAAGATTTTAAAGGAGGATTCAGCAGACCTGCTGGCAACTGGCTGTAATCCAGGGCCGAAAGCTGAGCTCAAGTTTTGGGCCTCTAGAAAGAAGAACATACAGAGTATTTATCATCAAGTAAGCTTCTTTCCCCACGATGTATGTTATTAAATTGATTTTATTTAATTGAACCCTTTGTTAAAGTATTGATATGTTTCTCTCACAGCTTCAAAGTCCCATTGTTGAAATGATGGCAAAGATGTTAGAGATAATGGACAGTAGCTACCAAACAACAATCAAGACTCTTCTAGTGAATGTGTTTACAGGTAAGGCCAGTTCTGGCCTTCACATAAGAGGCCATATTATATTTTGCATCTGGTCAAATATATGATGCAATATAGTGTAAATACTGAAACTTGTAATCTTGATATTATTTTTTATTTGTTCTAACAAATAAGCGCTTCAAGAGGCCCAGGATATCGATCTTTATTTAAGGCCACTAAGTGCCCAATTGTCTCAACTGGAAAAGAAAGGACTGCTTTACATGGAAGCATACATACCTGCGCTCTTTCATACACTTTTCCTTATCTGGACCAACTGCCAGTCTTATCAAAGACCGGGACGAATTGTGGTGCTACTACAGGAAATATGCAATCTGTTTATTGAACATGTAAGTCTTCAGTTTGATAATATCATTTTTAATACAACACAATACATAATTGTTAACCTAATCAGGACATGTCTTCTATCATTCAGTCGGCCAGCATTACTCTAACTGTTCAATTGTTGGCCACAAAATGAAAAAATAAAAACTTTCACCTCGTAGGCTTCTGCGTACCTCTCTGCAGATCTTCTACTCAGAGAAGATCCAGAGGAAAGTCTACTAATGGTAAAGAGGGGGATCAAAGTCTTTAGCTGTTTCAAAGAAAGTTACCAGACCCAGAGGATGAGGCTGGCAAACCAAGAGAATCATGCACCCTGGGATTTCCCATCTACCATGATTTTGTCGCGTTTCAGCAGTTTTTTTAACCGCATGCTGCAATTGGAGGTGAGCTTATGTTTTTGTCTGAAGGTGCAATGCACACTATCTTCTTTTTACGACATTTTTTTCTTGCAGGACTTGTTTGAAATTATGCTGGACTTCCAGAGGATGGAAAAACTGGAGTTTGGCGGAATTAAAGGGGGGCTGTACAATAATTATGTTTCCAAGATCCATAGAGAGTTCAGAGAGCACTGCCAAGAGCTGAAGCACTCTAAAAACAGCCCACTTGATATTACCTCTCAGGTGAAACTGCCTAATTGTTGTTGCTGAGATTCACTTTGCAAATTGAGGGAGGACAGTTATTACATGGGTCATGTCCATTGTGTTACACTAAATAGGATTGAATTGTCATTTCTTTCTAAGGCTTTTGAGGATGAGTATTACGCTTTCAGAAGTAAAGTTGCAGACATGGAATGCCGCCTTGCCAGCCTGCTGTCTTTGGCTCTTAAGGATTGTACGGGACTGGAATCGGCTTTAAAGGTAAACAACACAAAATACTAAGTAAGTCATAGTGCTGCAAAATAGGACAACTTATTTTCTTTAAATTTTTAGATGCTTACTATTGTTGGACCCTTCTTGGAGAAAAAGGAGATAAGACGGAGGCTTTTCCCCTCCCTCATTCTGCTTCAGCAGCTTTTCAAACAAGAGCTGATGAATTGTGATGGTCTGTTCCAGTCTCATTGCAAGCAGGTGCTTGTTTCTGTAATTGGTGTAGCAGTAGTAGCACAATGCGATTAAAATAGCATAATCTAATGGTAATCTAATATCTATCTTCCTGTTTGTTTAAAGGTGGAGAGTGGTCTAACAAAGAACATGGCACATACATCTGGATCTTTGAAGTGGGCCAAAATGCTAAGAGAACGCATTAACACACCCTTGCAAAGATTTGGATTGCTCTTTGACATGTCCGTAAAACTTTCAAGCAGAATGAGATTTATTTAGTCCTAAATAAGTTACAAACCATAGCTGACCTGATCTAAATTTTTTCAGTAAGAAAAGACAAGAGACTAATGTTTGTGTAATCCTTCTAGGTCTGCTGAAGGCATGGAGATGATGAATGACTGCCAGTTGTACAATGAAATGTTAGGTCTTCTGAATCAGTATGAGGAGGATGTTTACTCTGAGTGGTGCAATGGGTTGGAACAGGCCTGCCTGATAAATCTGAACCAGCCTCTCATTAAAAGAAATCACACAACTGGCCTCATTTCTGTAAATTTCAATACAAAGGTAACTTGAATGATGTCCTAGATGTGGACAACAAATTCAATTGGTTTCCTCTGCTTCACTAGTTTAATATTATGAAAATAGAAAGCTGTGTTGGCTAAGTAGGAAATGCAAAAGGAACACATTCTTTAAGGTGCAAAACCAAGGAGTAAGTCGTATCTTTGCTGTGACCTGTTGTGCCTTCACTCTTGGGGTTTTTATTCAATTTGTCTACTTAGTTTTTTTTTTTTTCAAGGTTTCTATTACTTTAGTCATAACTAAAGGATGTCTATGCGTCAATCACTATTTTCTTTTCCTGTCAGCTAAATGAAGTCTTAAAAGATGTGAAATACATCCACACATTTGGTCAATTTGATATCCCTGCAGCTGCATTGGCAGTATTTGAGAGGCGTGACATGTTCACAAAGGTAAGAATTGAGCTTTCTAAACTTTCACATAGCTGCCTATTTCTGTTACAAAAAAATAACAAAAGCTTTATCCTCTCCATAAATGAATAACTCTATATTTCTCTATTGTTGCATTTTCAAGTATATGAGCAGTTTGCAACTGTTGGTGCAGTGGTACAACAAGCTTAAGCTGACAGTGTTAGAGGTGGAGCTTCCCCTCATCAAAGCTGAGCTGGAGTCCATCAACCTGCAGCTGCTAAGAGCGGAGACAGACCTGACTTGGCAGGATCAGCAGAGCTGGAACTTGATCAGAACCACCAAGCACTTTGTCCAAGACCTTGCATGTCGAGTCAGTCGAGCCAAGGAAAACTGCGATGCCATTCAGGCAGTGATGAAGGGGTGGAGCAAACAGGTCATGTTCTGCAGAAAAGACAACAAGAAAGGCTCATTCATACAACTGGGCGACAGGACGGACTGTGTCAGCAAGAAGTATAACTCCATGAGGAAGGATGGCGATTTCATACATCAGCTGGTCCAGGTTTGTATGGCTAAATTGATCATAATGCAGACTACACTGTAAGTGGCCACTTAACCATGGAAAAAAGAGTTGTATTCATGCAACTGCTTTATATTAAAAATATTTTCAGAGAAAAACTTTTGTTCCACAGTTTTGTAGTATGTGTCATTTGTGTTTAGCTATGGATTTGATTTCCTTTTGATGAGAGAATTAATATAAAATTAATATATTTTATTAGAATAATACATTTAATCTTTAAACTCATTTAAAGATTAGTCAATAGTGATTTAAAAAAAATCTAATTTAAGCTACTTTTACTGTTTTCGACCATCTGTTGTTATAAGATCATGTAAAATCTTATCTTTATTTTCTAAGGAAAATATGTCCCTTTTTCGAGCCGAACCTGCTTCAGAAGGATGGAGATCCTACTTGGAATACATGGATGATGTGGTGGTGGAGGGACTTTTCAGCTACATCAGTCACTCTCTTCAGTTCTTTGTGGACAACATGGAATTGTTGCCAAACCAGGCTCCTCTGTTTGAAGCTCAGTTGATGCTGGATGACACAGGAGTGACTTCCTGTCCTTCAGTGGAGCGAGATGTAGGAGATGGCCTCTATGATCTCATAGAGGAACTCGTTGCAAATGTATTCAAGACTTCCCTGAATGTAAAGAGAGTTGCAGAGAGTCATCTTATTATGGAGAGCTATCAGGTACTATGATTATGATGAGTGTTTCAGCAAGCACTATAAAATGTATAGTCAATTAACAATGTATTAAATAATTTTAGTCCAATGGACCTTGCTAAATATAAGATATTATTCTAAGAATAGAAGTAGACTGGCTTGGGATCTTCTGACCTTATTCAGTTTGTAGATGTAAACATTTTGTGATCAGGTAAAAGTTTTTTTAATCTTTTATTGTATATAGTTAAAAACAAGTCAAGCTGGATTACAGAATCAAATAAATAGGAGTCCGAAAAAAAGTGTTTATGTTACTCCCTCAGTGGAAATCTTACCACACTGATTAAAGCAAATACTAGTGTAATTGCCGTAGAAATTCCAGATAATGTATGTCTTTTGATTTAACTCTTATAGGATGTAATGGATGGTATGGCAGATTTGTTGGACCTGAGACAAGAAATAATGGGCCGAGTTGACAATGTCCTGAAAAAGGCTTCAGAGTACCAGCGGACGTTTGATATCTATGCACACCTTTGGCAAGATGACAGGACTGAGTTTCTAAGCCACTTTCTCCAGTATGGACGTGTACTTTCAACAGAGGAGATGGAGGCTTCTAAAGCAGATCTGCTCCCTAAGAACCCCCCGTCAATCGATAACTTCAAAGAACAGGTTCAACAATTTTGTATTTATTTTCATTCTTAACCCTTTTTAAAAAAAATAATAATAATTTAATGATGATTTCACAGATTGATTATTATGAAGATCTGTATGCTGAAGTTTCCCAGCTGGAAGACTTCAGAGTGTTTGATGGGTGGCTTCGGGTGGATATCAAGTTCTTTAAAGGCAGTCTCTGTAACAATATAAAAAAGTGGAGCTGGATTTTCAAAGAGCATCTCTTGACAAATGTGATGAACAGGTAAAAGGAACTCTTCACAGCTTTTCAATGCAAGTTAAACTGTGAAAAAGTTGTTCTCACTTTGAAAGTTCTTCATTCAGTCTCAATGAGCTTCAAAAGTTCCTCCGAGCCGCTGTCGAAGGGTTAAACCGTCCTGTTGCTGAAGGGGACCAAGAAGGCTTTTTGGAAGTTATGAGTCTCCTATTGGCCATCAGAGACAGACAAAATACCACTGACAAAATGTTTGAGCCTCTCTGTGACACACTAATTCTTCTAGAACGTTATGGAGTTACTATACCAGAACATTTTTACTCTCAAATGGAGGTATGATAATTGCAGATGATTTTCTCTTATGGTAGCAGTTGTATGATATGAATGAATAAGTAAATACTGTATTTATTTTGTACTCAATCAACCTTCAAGTTATCAAAATAATGATCCTCACAGGAACTCCCAGAGAAATGGAGCGAGGCAAAAAAACTTGCCTTAAAAGTGAGGCATGAGGTGGCACCCATGCAGAGTGTGAAAGTGATGGATTTACGAAGACAATGCATCGAATTTGAGGTTAAAAGTTACGCTTACATTTAAATCTAGGTTTCAGGTAAAAAATGATTCAATTCAATGGAAAACACAACACTTTATTTGTTGGCATCTGAATAACTTACAGGAGAATCATAGCATGACTATTTTGATTATATTGTCATTTTCAACTAAAGAAATGGTCATTGTGTCTTAAAAATGTTGTGATAGGATAGAACCAGGTCTTCAGATGGCATTGCACAATTGCCAGACTAATCTGTAATTTTCTTTTTTCAGGTTAAACAAAGCAAATTCAGGGAGACATTTAGGACAACTGAACCTTTCAGTTACAATGCAATAAATCCCTACATTTGCCTGGACAGGGTAATGGTTCTATTTTATTCTGGAATGAAAATAACATTGTTCTCTAATAGGCACTTTGACCATTGTATTGTGTTTGTGTGTAGTCTGCAAAAAGAATCCAGGACATGGAGAGAGAAGTGGCTGTGCTGCAGGAGTCCACAAATCTCTTTGATGTTACTATTCCTGACTACAGAGACATCAAGCTCTGTAGACGAGAGATTACTGTTCTCAAAGAACTGTGGGACATTGTAGTATTTGTGCAGGCAAGTAACCAAATATATATTCTTAATTATCACCAGCCCTTAAAAGATGGCTATACAACTGAAATCTTTAGAACCCTGCCCTACTGCTCCAGTGCCTAAATAACATGAACTTTTTTTCCTCGTGGGAGTTCCCTTTAAATCTCCCAAAGTTCCTATTAAGCACCCTCAGCCCATTGACCCCTGTACATGTGTCTTTATCTGTACAGAGCAGTGTAGAAAACTGGACAATGACCAAATGGAGGCAAACAAACATAGACCAGATGGATGCAGAATTGAGGAGATTTGCCAAGGTGATGTCACCCACTGTGCTACATTACACCAGCTCATCTCTCCTGCTGTTTTGTTGTCATGCACCATTGCTGTTTGTAACAGATGCCCCTAATAACTAATTATGTTTACCTACCTTCTGTTTGTGTAGGACATACGGAAGCTTGACAAAGACGCTCGCATGTGGGACGTTTATAGTGGATTGGACCGTTTTGTAAAGAATTTGTTGACGTCCCTGCGGGCTGTGAGTCAACTACAGAACTCAGCAATTCGCGAGCGCCACTGGGTTGAACTAATACAAACAACACAGGTGCATAGATTAAAGGCACGCAGTAGAAGTCGCACTATAGAGCAGTGTTTTTTTTATTGTATGACAGATATGCCTGACTTTATCTCCTGACTACCTTTGTTTTAAACAGATGGACTTTTTTGTGACAGACAATACAACCTTGGGGGAGCTTTTGGCTTTACAGCTTTATTTGTTTGAAGACAAAGTCTGCAGCATAGTGGATAAAGCGATCAAAGAAATGGCCATTGAGAAGGTTTTTATTCTGAACTAACAACCGATCACCAAAAATGGCAACATCAGGAGTATTTGAGCAATTGTCACCAGCAATTTTATGTAAAATGCCACACAGTATTTATTTTAATCTTGAGTTAACATTGTCTCACCTTAATCTTATATGTTACCTTATTGTGTGGGGAAAAAATATGACAGAAAGCAAAGCATTTACTTTATTATTATTATTATTATTATTATTATTATTATTATTATTATTATT